ATTTTAAACTTAAAAAAACAAGAAAAATGTGTTGTATGTTTTCGTCTAGTTGTCTAGATCAAGTGTGAATAATAGAAGGAATATTGAAAAAAGTGTGTTTCTTGGACTCCTCCTTTATAGCTTGGTGAGATGTGAAAGCTGTTTGTCATTATCTGGTCCGTCTGGAAAAAAAGAAATAATGCATTTGTTAGTTATTTACCTGGCCCTCTATCTCACTAATATTTTACCATACAAGGCACAATTTTACTTCACATGACTGTCTACTAGTATTTTGTAACAGAGTGATGGAAATATGTACGACATGCCTCATCCTAAACGCTGTTTATTTATATATATTGAATGTATATCATAGCAAACTGCTGCCATGCATGATAAAAGTTTTTTTTTTTGTAAGATACATCTAAGTATAGTAGTTTGGATGCCAGGTTGACCTGTAAACACAATCTGCCACTGTCAGGAGCTGATTGCCCCCTCCCCTTCTAGGGGTGTGGACAGTGGAAGGGCTGCTAGAAGCCTGACTTAATCAAGCTACCATGAGTCAACACCACCTTGCCACCTAAAGTTTGACAGATAGATGACAACAACCTGCACCAGAGTTACCGTGTAGGTCCTCAGCACTCAGACTTCACTGCTCAGTGAGGATGCTTGTGGTGCTCGTGGTCAGTCTTGCACTCCTTCTCACAAGGCTCACAATCACCGGACTCACCTATCAAAGATACAACAATATCAATTGTTTGGAAAATCAAGAAACGCTCTATCAGCACCATTGAACTTTCAGTTGCATGTTAATGGTTTAGTCGGGGTACTTTATCAAAGCAAATTTCAATGGACTTCAAAGTATCAAATCACCCCATAACAAAGATACACTCAAGATTTTGTGACAGTGACTTCAAGAAAAGCTCACCTGCGTGGAACTGTCAAGAAAAAACGGCATGTTAATGGAACTAGAAGTTCAGCTTTTGCAAACAATTTGAAAACTCTAATTCTAATCTCTATACTCATCATCAATCGTTCACAGCTGGCTGAACTTGGATTATATATAGGACATAAAACATGCATGAAACCGGATTGACCACTGTGGCAGCATTTATCGAACAGAAGTGTTCAATGTGTACTTTCTTATCCCGTGGGAAAGTTCAGCCATGTACATGATCCTTTAACGACTTTCACTAAGCACATTTGTGTCCTGTCATTCTGTCATCAAGCGGTCGGTGAAACGTTTTATCCTACGAGTTTAAAGTGTGGGAATCTTGTGGAAGGTACATCTGAGCACCCGAACTGTGCAGTCTTACGGCTCAATGTGCGCTGCCAAAACCCACTACTGTGCCACGCCTTGAGGTGTTGGATCTACATCGGCCATTTTCAACAATAAGGCCATGTTGATTTGATTATATGGATGACATCCACGCGCGCATGATTTTTTGTCCGTTTGGCCATGTTGATTTGATTATATGGATGACATCCGCGCGCGCATGAATCTTCGGCCGTTTCAAAAAAAAAAGTTTCAAACCACACTGTAAATTGTACAAAACAGTTGCAAAATGAGCAAATATATACCGAAAGTTGCACAAAAAAATATTTAGAAAACGATTCCAACGTCGTAGAATGACCAAAATCAAAACAAAAAACTAAAATGCAAAGAAATGAATTTAAAGAGTAGATTATTCGCCATACCATACTCTGTGTCATTTGTTCGACCTTCATAACAACGTAGATTTCATGAAAGCTAACTTTTTTTTTGCAAAACTTTTTTTATTCGCGCTCTCGCATCAGTTTTGGGGTTCCCAGAAGATGTCATCCATATAATCAAATCAACATGGCCTTTCCAAAAAAAAGTTTTCAACCAACGATGCTAATGTCATTGAATGCTGAAATCAATTCAGGAAAAGAAGAACATGGGAAGAAATGAAAATTATTAAGAGTCTATTATTATTCCCCATACCATACTCTGTGTTTCGTCATTTGTTCAACCTTTATTACCACGTAGATTTCATAATGAAGCAGCTCAATGAAGGAAACTTTTTTATTCGCACGCTCGCGTCAGTTTTTGGGTTCCCTGAGGATGCCATCCATAGAATCAAATCAGCATGGCCTAAGAAATAGCAGAATCCCTCTGTACAATTATCAACAACATTGAAAACGAATGGTAAATAATTAACGCACACCTGTCGGCTAAAATCGCCAAATACAGTACATTTGTAGCTCATCGAGTCACGAATGTACCGAACACATCCGCGCTACTTTAATATGACTGATGTGAGACTCTACTTACAGGCCTTGGAAGAGTCCTTGTTCTTGCATTCGGGGCCGCACTTGCAGTCAGGGCCACACTTGCACTCTGCAAAGACAACCACACGACGTCATGTTACCCTGACATTGATCAGACGGGAATAACGGTACTTTAACTTGGCCAAAATATTGCACCAACATTTCAACAGATCGCTCTTACGTTACGATAATTTGTAATCATATCCTTCCCTGTCTGTCTCTAAGATGATCCTCTTTCCTACCTGTTGCACTTCGCTGCGCTCCAGGGTTATGAGTGAGATCGTGCCCGTTAGTCGTCTTTACATACAGTCTAGACACCGTATAAATCCAGAGTAAGGCTTGACAGTCTGGTAATTTGGCCGAGAACCTAATCCACCAAGAAGATATGCGGTTTTGTGTCTTTTGGGTCTTTCTAGTGGACTAGGGAACCTTTGAGAACCTCCGCGAATTTATTACACCACCTGCACTGCAACACGTACATTGTACGCACAGAACAAGCCAAAGCTATTCATCAACTACGCATATATACATGGGCTAGACCGCGGTAAATGCGGAAGCGGATTGTGCTTACCATCGCCACACTTGCAGGGGTCTGGCATGATTTTTTCCTGTGACTTCGCTGATAAGTAGCTTTTCTTGGCTCCTCGAAGGTTGTGTGACGTGGCACAGATGACTTCAGCTTTAAATTATTCTTTGCACACGTCCTACCTCTTCAGCGGTCAGTGTTAAAAACATGTTCATTTCAAAAGATGTCTGCACACGCCTCTGTTGCGAGGTCGCGTGTGCAAGTATCGAGGTCGTGTGCAATCAAGATAATATTTATTCAAATGTTATTTACAAAGTATACGCACGTATTAGTCTCCATAGCTCGCCCTTACCTTGGCTGACGTTATGACATTGCTGTTTTGCTGACTATGCAGTGACCTGATTGCTAACTTGTTCTGACGGCTTCTTGGGTCAACAACATCGGTTAATGTTGTAGAAATAACAGCCTAGGACAAGGTACAGCGATTTTAAAACGTCAGTCGGAGCATGCCGTGACGTGAGAGCTACACTGTGCATCCCACATACACGTACAGTTAATATTTATGCAAGGACGGGAGAAGGAAGAAATGTATTAGAGGAAATATGACTGCTTCTTTCATATGTATATGTCACAGGGGAGATTGGAATCCAGGGGAATCCGGAACTCCCCTAGGGGAGATTGGAATCCTCCTAGGGGAATCTGGAATCCTCCTAGGGGAGATTGGAATCCTGATATTCTGATCCCAGATTAGTAGTAGAAATACTAGAACTCATAGATTGAACCATTTATCACCTAAACTTTCAACTAATTTCAGCATAGGCAAGCCTATTACTATTGTATGTGAATTACTAGATTGGAATCAAGATCTTGGCAGTTTTGAATCTGTCCTAACTTTATAGATCCAAATCTAACTGAATTGGCAAAATGAAGGAAACAACAATATTCTTACTAACCATGATTTTATTAAGAATTTACACATACAGACTTGACATCTAAAATTCTATACCTAAGCTACAAAATCTCAAACAAAACTACAGTATTTGGAATATCATTTTTCTATCATTCGCTGCAGACTACTACTACTAGTTACTAAGTTAGTGGTCATGACTGAGTTACCTTAGCTTAACATTTTAAACAAGTAATACAATGAATTTACAGAGGTTATTGTTTTTTTCCTGCATCCAGAATATGCTATTTACTACTCACTACAGTAGTACATACTGGTAATACATTTGGTGCCTGAAAAATTGGTCAGTATGCTGTCACTTTGACTGGCTTGGCATGGGGAACAATCCCTTATATACCAAGTCACTAACTAACTGGAAAAACTGGTTTTTGATTCACTATCTCACAATGGCCTGATGCAAATATCTGAGTCTGATTTACATATTCACTTACCTATACTGAATTTGATTGAAAGTTTAGGTGTGAAATAATTCAGTCTATTTTCCAAAGCATTTTGATGCAATCAGAATTTCTCCTTTTAAAATTGGAGATTGTAATAATTCCCACTTGTCCTAGGGGAGATCGGAATTCCAATCTCCCCTAGGGGAGTTCCGGATTCCCCTGGATTCCAATCTCCCCTGTGACATATACATTTAGCCCCATTGCCATGAACATGCAAATAAAGATTCATTCATATATTAGCAAGCCGGTACAGAGCGGTAGTATACTATATACAAAACTCATCACTATCTGTAATACATGCACATGTGTTACACCGAAGCCATTCAG